GTGGGGGGGGGGGGAGAGAGAGGGGGGGGGGGGGGGGGGGGGAGAAGAAGAGAGAGGGGGGAGAGGGGGGGGGGGGGGGGGGAGAGAGAGCACGAGAGGAGGGTGAGAGAAGGCGAGAGGGGAGGGTATGAAAGAGGAGAACAAAAAAATGTTAGAGAGAGTGAGCGTGAGACACAGTCGGTGACACCAACGCCCCACACTTGCACATTTCCCCCCTCGCCCAGGCCTCACCTCGAGGTAGGGAGTCTGTCCAAACCAGGGGCCTGTTCCCGGGCCGGGCCGGCCCTGTCCCAGAGGGAATGGTGGCAGCCGCCATCTCTTTGGGAGCCGGCCACGTCTCGCCGTCATCCTGGTCCGACGTTGGGAGCTCGCTCCCGTCTCCCCCTTCCTCCTCGCAGTCCAGCAGCTGATCCACCGCCGTTCCCGAGGCCCCTTCTTCCTCCTCCTTGTCGTCGTCCCCGGCGCCATCTCCCCTCTCGGCCGGGAGGTGCCCCTCCGCCTCCTCGCTCACGAACACTCCGCTCAGCTGTCTCACCAGGTGGTTCAGCTTTGCTGCAAGGAAATTTAAAAAAAACACAACACAGAAACAGCGATATAGAAATGCAGCCCTGGTTAGGGACAATAAGGAGGGAGGAGGGGGAATTGGGAGAGAGATGCGCACACCCAGACAAGCCTGCCCCTCCAACCCCCTCCAGAGCTGTCAACACCCTACCAGTGACGGAGATTTTGAAGGGGGTACGGTTCACCCCAGGAGTGGGGGAGCGCGGGTCGCTGGGGCCTGACGAGCCCCGAGCTCCTACAGTCGCTGTTGATGTTGCTGTTGCTGTTGCCAACTCCTCTTCCTCCTCCTCCTCGGATTCGGCGTCAGCACGGTCTGGGCTCGGGCTGGACAGGACCTGGAAGGAGACGGGGAGTCTGTTAGCGTCACCCCTGGCGGGGGGTGGGGAGTCCGTACCCTGGCCTGGGAAGGGGGGGGTGTAGGGAGGGTGCACGTACCTCGATCGGTGTCCGCACGATCCCGGCGCTGGGCGATCGAGGGTCGAGGGCGTTGGAGAGGTGTCGGTTGTAGGGCGCTCTCACCGGGGTCTCCGCACAAGTACTGCCCGATGTCCCCATCTCTCTCTCTCTCTCACTGCCCCCTCCCCGGGGGGGGG